ATTCCCCGAGGGAGCCAAGCTGTTTACACCATTCTGCCCTGTCTGAGCAGGATTGTGCCTTCACAGATATCCCACTGGGGACTGAGGGCCAGTGCATCCAAGCACAGCCCTGGGCCTGCCCTCTTGCAGAACTGCAAGCAGCGATGGGGCCACATATCCCAGGAGCCCCTGCTTCTGGGAATTTAGCTCTGCAAGAGCCTGGCAGGAAGTGAAGCTTTGAGGGGAAGACACTTTGAGGTGTGGGGAGGTGGGGTGTGCATTTGTGCACACATATGTGTGCAGAGAACGTGTGTATTCATGGGTGTGTGCTGAGGTTGTATGGGTGAGTGTGTCTGCACATGTGCATGCATCTGGGTGGGTGTGCAGGGACATACATGAGGGTGTGTGTCTGTGTGTCCATGAGACCAGGAGGCATTGGCAGGACTTCAAAGTAAGAGTCCGCTGAGCACACAAGCAGGCAGCTGCAACTCTGGACAAAAAGAGGAGGGAAGTAAATCAAGCTGCCAATTAAAGGAGCAAGTCACCGTCATCCCTGAGATCAGAAGATGGGACTCGTGGGCAAGCTGGATGAGCCCAGCGCAACCAAAGGGGATGACGGATCTGACCAAAAGCAACTGACCTCAAACTTCATTCATTATACCTTCATTCAAATGCATTTCCCTAATAAAAATCTCCTCCCAGAGGGAGACATACCACACCTTTAAGCACCTCTTGGACCAGGTGCAAACTCACGCCTGCACAGTAACCAAACTCCACCCTGTCCAGACACCCCCCACTCATTCTGGGAAATAACTTATGAATAATTAATGACATTCCTTTGGGACCCTTTAAAAGTGGGATATATCCTTCTTTGTTAGGTTCAACCTCTGTAGAGGAGCCAGTTCACTGTCTGTGGAGTAGCCAACTGTTCGGTCTCTTCCTGGGGCTGGGACAGTCTCTTCCTGGGACAGTTGGCTGTGTTTCCTTTCTATGATAAACTTCCCAATTAAACCTTCCACTTGTAAATGCATGCCGCTGCCTCAGCGTTAATTTCCCTTATCACCTCAGGAAGGACCCCTGCCTCTGGTGATATAGAAGGCTGTGCACATATGAGCCCAGGTGAGTAGGGAAGAAAAGAGCAGCAGGGAGGCACTTTCTCATCTTGGCACTTTTCACCAGGGTCTCCTAAGTGTAGTCACCTACACAGTCCCTGCTCTAGCCCTGGGTGGGCAGTGGAAGCCCTGGACCACAGGCTCAGTGTCAGGCCCTGGGGAGCAGCCAGAGGAGTGGCAGGGCTCTGCTTAAGGACTAGGGTGCAGGTTGAGAGCAAACAGAAGCACAGCACACGCTGAGAAGCTGAGGAGTGAGCTAAATTCCCGCTTCTCCACGAGACCTGTTCACTCTGCTCCTCCAGGGGTACAGTGTGTGTGTGGGGTGAGTATGAGAGAAGCCCTGCAGTCCTTCACAGAGTGGTAACAGAAAGACATATCTCTCTGGCCTGGATCCTGCCTAGTCAGAAGGGAAGCATCAGGCTGAGCACGCTGTTTGACAAACACAACTTCATCTAACCCGGAGGTAGGTGTGGTGGGGGAGCCCTGACAGAGGGTGCTCCTACTCCTAAGGCTCTCTGTGCAGCACAGCCTGGGACGAGGGCTCTGAACATCTTAGAGCCTCTGAAGACTGCCCAGACTGTCTCTTGCTGCTCTGTCTGAGGCAGGTCCAGCTCCAGCTTAGCTGTAGAACTGCCCATGCCATCCACAAGCTTCCCTGGCCCTGGGCCCCTGTCTTCCTCCTCCTCATTCATCCCTGCTCCAGCCGACTTTCTTGTAGGAAGCCTGCAGGCCAAGGAAAGACAGCCTCTTTTCATCATTTGCAAACGCTGGCTGCCTCTGCAGCATTCTGCTCCGAAGACAGTGTCAGCGCATCCCTGAGCTCTGTTCAGAGGGAGCCAGGGGCAGGCTCAACGTGGGCGCAGCAGTGGGTGCTGGCAGGAGATGAGCAGGCACACCTCAGCGCTGAGCACGAACAGCTGGATCTTCAAGTGACAAAAGTGCTGTTCACCTCTCCCAGCACCTGGAGCGCTTGTGAGTTCAGCACCCGCGCTCGGGGACAGCTCCCACCTGCTTCCTTACTGCTCTGCTGCAATTCAGCCTGCAGGGACAGGGGGTCTGCCTCATGGTGGGCACCTTGCCCCCAGAGCCTGCTCCCCACAGGAACTGTGCTTCCTCCAATGTCACCACAGGCATGCAGGCCCCTCATTCGCCCCCATCTCTCTCCTCCCCTTCAAATGGACCTGCCCCTGACCCCCGCCCTCTCATCTTCACCGAGCTTACTGGAGACAGCTGCAATACGCAGAAAGAATGATTCCAGCAGTGCAGATTTCAGGTCTCAGGGATAAAACCCTTCAAACGACTAGCTCCTTTAGTAGCCCCTTCAACAACACATCTTCCTTCTCTCCCTAGTCAATGCAACCAGTCCTAAGATGTTCCTCCTGGGTTACTGGCAGAGTGGCAGGGAAGAACTGCAGAGACTGAGAAGCTGCCCAAGTCAGGAGCGCCCTGGGCCTTAGAGACACCTGACACTGGTGCTGGCTCTAACCCCACCATCCTTCTCCCTCAGAGATCAATGTGGAGGCCTGGACGACAGACCCAGCAGAAAGGAAAGAACAACAACACACCAGGAGATGATGTGCACGGGCTTCAGAGAGGAATCACATTTCCACTGGAAAACCACCCAAGAACAAGTTAATAGATTGATGGAGGAAAGTTGATTCACAGGCAAACAACACTGGGGCCTTCCTTAGCTATGCCCTGGGGCAAACAAAGAACAATCTCATCAAAATGACAATGAAAAGGAGTAGAATTCCACTGAGTGCATATTCCTACCCATAAAGAAAAAGATTGATAACTTTGACTAAGTTTAAGTTAAGCACTTCTGTTCCTTTCGGGGAAAGCATAAAGAATTTTTAAAAGACAACTGCAAATTAGAAGGTTTTTAACACATATAACTCACATAGCATTTATACCCATTATATATAAATAACCACTACAATTCAATAAAGAAAACAACCAAGGAGAAAGGTGCGCAAATGATATGAATGGGCATTTTATGGGCATTTTTATCAAGAAATAACAGCAAATACATATATGGCAGGATGCTCACCCTGTTTGTTGTTAGGAAATTCAATTTAAGGCAGTGACAAGACAGATTACAGTGCCAGTTTCGCCTGCACTTAGGAAGTCTGGTAATCATGAATATCGTGGGGGTGTGGCCATGGGAGCCCACCCACTGGCGGGATTGTGAATTGGTTCGATCACTCTGGGAAACAATTTGGCTTTATCTTGTAAAGTTGACTTTTCGCACGCCCTGAACAGCAGAAATTGAAACCCTAAATCTATACCCAAGAGAAACTGATGCTAATTAGGTATCAATTGCACAATTTGTCTCTCAGATGTGCAACAACTGAGGAATTTGTCCCTGGACAATTGTACTAGCATACTGTGAGCTCAGCACAAGTGTTCAGAGATGGCACCCAGCCCCAGGCAAATTGTTAAATTGAGCTGAAAACTCTTACACAAGTGCCCCAAGTAACCTGTCTGTGAGCAGTCACTGTAGCATTTATTGTGCACAAAAATTTAAAGCAGGAAAAAGTGTTCACAAACAGGAAGCACTGATAAATACTATGGTACACCTGCACACATCACAATATGGATGAATCTTTGAAACATAATGAGTGAAAATAAATAAGTCTTGGAGACTGTTTACAGTAGATGCCTTTTTTTTTCTTTTTAGGGTACAGGATACCGGAGTCAGAGAGTTCTGCGCTACATCTTTAAGCCCTTTTTATTTTTTACTTTAAGACAGGGTCTCACTAAGTTGCCCAGGCTGGTCTCAAAGTTGCAATCCTCCTCCCTCAGCCTCCCAAACAGCTGGGATTACAGATGTGCACCACTGGGCCCAGCAGGAGATGTCACTTTTATGAATCTCAAAACCAAACCAAACAGGCTGGGGATTTAGCTCAGTGGTTCTGCCACCTGCCTCGAAAGCGCAAGGTCCCGAGTTTGATCCCCAGTACCAAAACCAAACCAAACAAAGCAAAACTAAACCACATATTATTAATGGATATAAATATGGAGAAAACTAATTAATAATTATGTTACAAAGCAAAGATAAATACAAATTCAAATTATAGGTTTTGGGGGGAGCAGATGGAAGGATGGGTGGGTCCAGGGGGACATAGGACCCTCAGTAATATTCTCCACCTTAAGGTGGGCAGCAACATCATGGGGATCATTTTCTTTGTGTGCAGCATAACATAGTTTACGTATACGTTAATACATATCAAATACCATATAATAAACATAAAAATAAAGGAAGAAAAATCACAGGCATTTCTACATCCCACAGATAGGGTGGGTAAAAATAAACCCAATCACACACACACACTCCTACCCCTTCCATTTCCCACACACTCGGAGCCTTTTAGCTTCCTCTGCTCTGCAGGCAAGGGATGGGGAGGGGTCCACCTCTCTCGGTGTTGAGGGACCCTGAGACCCCAGTGTATACTGGGGACAGACTAGGCATTGCTCACACATCCCAGAAACCTCCAAGTCTTACAGATCCCCAGCCCCATGAACAGGCCCACCAAGGAATCCAGTTCTGGAAAAAAACCAGTGAGGCCACTGGGAAGGCAGGCAGAGGGACCACGTGTTCGTGGGGTGGCTCAAGCCCTCCAGGCAAACTTTGTCAGTCCCTGAGCACAAACCCCACACCTCCCAGAGATGGAGACCAGGAGACTGAACTGTGCTAGGCAAAAACACTTCCTCATTGCATCCCAAATGTGAGCAGGTGTCAGTGTGGAGGAGGAAGCAGGCAGAAGAGGGAATGGGGGAATGCCTGGCAGAACGCAGGAAAGACTCCCAGGCTCCATGGGCCCCGCAGCAGCTCCTGGGACTCGAGGGTCTCCTCCATCCCCTCCCTGCACCCAGCACAGCGCTGCCGTGGCTCTCCCCAGCACTCACCTCTGCAACTCCTTCAGGGACACAGTGACCCTCAGGCTGTGGCCCAGGACATAGAGAGCTGCCAGGATGTCTGCCCACTGCACCATCTCCCCCAGGGGCCCGCCCTTCAGCACCCGCGGGCTGAACACGTCCCCAGACTCCTCCGTCAGGAAGCCGATGTGCACGAGGATCTGGGCCAGTGGGATACAGAGGGTCAGCATGACAGACCGGCCGCCCTCAGCCTTGCCCCCACCTAGGACACCAGCAGGAGGCCAGCCGCAGTGGGCTCTGTCCCTGGGCTGGACCTGGCCAGGTACTTTTGGGCACTAGCATGACCGCATCAGGTGGGGATACGGGTGGGTAGGGTGGTCACATTCCTGCCACCCAGAGCTTACGTTCCAGATGGAAGAGGTGGACAACACTAAACACAGACAAGAGACAGTTTCATGAAATGATAGGACCTCTGCAAGAAGTAAACAGGCGAGGTGAGAGTAGAGCAGTTCTCTATTACATGCACGGATGGACAGATGGAAGGAGGGACCCGCAAATGGCTCCAAACACACAGTGTGATTCCCAGCCTTCTAGGCAACCAGAACAAGACATCCACAGAATACAGGACCCTCGGGGACCTCACCTGTTTCCATCCTGACCCCAGCATCCCCACCCTGCCTCTTCCTCTGGATCCAATTCAAAGAAACCCAGTGCCACCCCATGTCCCCTTGGAAGCCACAGACCCTGACCATGTCGCACAAGATCCCTGGGCTCCACCCCCAAGAGGATGTCATACCTGCTTCTGGTCCCTCTGGATGTCCCCCAGCTTCCGTGCCAGGCGCTGGGCAGCTGTTGCCCACTGGGATGTGAGCCGCTTGGTCCGCTTCTTCATGAATATCAGTGACTCCTTCCCACTGCCCATCAGCTCCAGCAGGTGGGACAGGTTGCTCCGGAAAACTGACTGGGGTGCATTGCAGACCTCAGCTTTCTCAGCCCTAGAGCCACGGCCATGCAGACACCCCCTGCGCGAGGCTGGACCCACACCAGCTTTGTTCACCGTGAGCCCAAGGTCAGGAGGATCTGCTCTTGTCCCCCAAGCTGAGGTGTCCCAGTCCAGCTCCTGCCAACCCCCCACCCTGAGCCCTTCCAGAGGGGTGATCAGTGATGACAGTGCCCAGGGTCCCAGGCACAGCAAGGAGGCAAAGATGGGTGGAAGTGGTCAGCACTGGGTGCTGGGCTGCCTCTCAGCAGTGCCACTGTCACCGAGTCCCTGGAACCCATTAACTCTCTAAGCCTCAGATTTGTCATCTGTTAAATACAGTCACATCAGTGCGGCCAGGAGACTTAAGGACAAATAAAGTGTCTGGCACATAGAGCGCCCTCAACACATGACAGCTCTTATTACTATCATTCTGCTCCATTAAGGAGACGCCTCCTCGGCCCCAGCCCATCCTCAGGCAGGTGGGTGGCCTCTCTCATGAGGTGGGAAAAGCACTCTCAGGCCAGCTGCCCCCTCCACGGGGCAGGCCTGAGGTTTCATCCCACTCTGTGGGGCTGATCAGCTGGGTAGCCCACTGGCCGCCCACCTCCATGCCTACCTGGACTCTGGGGAGGGGTTTGGGGGCCATCTGAGCCCTCGTCTGGTTCCTCCAGGGCAGCGGGGGGCAGAACCACTCGACCTCGCTGAGGTAGATGAGGAAAGAGCACTCGGTGCCATCCACCCCGAAGAAGGCGTAGCAGGGGTCAGAGGTCCAGCGGGCACGCATCCACTGCAGAGAGGGCAGGCCTGGGCGGGCTGCCAGGAACACCTACCCTGCCCTAGCAGACTCTCTGCCCTGGCCACTGAAGACCACAGAGACCAGGCCAGGAAAGAAGACCCTGGGAGGCCCAGCCAGGCCAGGGCACAGGAGGGCCGAGCTCTGGAGAGAGCCAGGAGGGGAAGCATCGTAGGCTGGGCCATCTCCTTTGTCATTTGTTCCTCATCCTATCACCTGGGCTAGTGGCAAAGGTCAAGGGGCGGTCTTCAAGCAGGCCAGGGAGGGGTGCAGGGAAGGTCCCCCTACAGTGGTCCCCAAAGAAGGGGACTCGGCCCACACCCTTTTGGGGTCCAGAACCAGTGAGGATCTGGCTTTATGGCCGTGGATGGACTCGCCACATGGACACATGTCATCACACAGCCAGAGAAGGCCCTGGAGGTGGGTTGGGCCAGGAGGAGCCTCTGCTCCAGGTCCAGGCCTTACCTCCACCTTCCCGGGGCAGTCAGGGAACTTGGGGTCGCTGGGAGCCTCGCACTGATCCTGCCGGCCCTCAGACACTGCAGGGAGAGGTTAGGGAGATGTCAGATCACTGAGGAACTGTGTCCTAGGAGGGCCCAGACCAAGGGCGAGGGGCAGAAGGGTCTGCACCCCTCTTCTCCCACCTCAGTTTTCTCATCAGAAAGGCCACTAGCTGACAGCCCACCCCAAGGATTCCCCTGGTCTGAGCTATTCCTTCCACAGTCTCCCTGGGGGTTCAGAGCCAGCCAGGGGCTGTCAGAAGACCTAGGAAGAGGCTCCCTGGGTGGGCAGGCTCTCGGGGCACACCCAAACTCACCCCACATTTTCTGAGGTGGACAGAGAAAGGCCTGCAGCCCCCAGCTGCTCCCATATCGAGCGGAATGGAGTAGCCCTGGGACCCTTCCCCAGCCGGCCCTGCTCTTGGGTCCTCAGTAGCCAGGATTCTGGGTGCCTCCAGTGCTCAGCACCCTCAGGCAGGGCAGGGTGGGGTGAACCCCAGGTCACCCCACTGAGAGCCTGGAGTGGGGCCCCAAAGAGCCAGGAGAGCTGTCCTCGGGAGAAGTCAGGCCTCCCCAGGTGTCCTCCCTGCCCAGGACTCCCCCTACCCAGTGCATCAGCCCTGGGGAGGGCAGAGGCACCCCACCCTGCACCCACCCTTGGTGTGCAGGAGCATACTGTGGCGCAGGATCTGGTCCACCTTCACGGCAATGTCAGAGACATTCTGGGCGATGGCCTGGATCCGCTCCATGAGGCCGGCCCCAGGGGAGAGCCTGAGTGGGGAGAAGATGGCCAGAGATGAGCAGCAGAACCCGCCTGGGTGATCTTTGGGTGGCTTTGGTCAGTCACCAAAGGCAGCAGGGTCAGAAGCACTGCAGGCACCCAAGTCCTGCTCCACAGACCCGCAGCAAGGGATAAAGCAAGGGATGGAGCCGGTGCAGATGGACTGGAGCCCACCTCATCCAAGGCGCACATTGCACACGTGTGGAAAGCCCATGCCTGTGCATGCCAGGTGTGTCTGTGTGTATGCTGCTGTGGGTCAAAGGGCAGGGCCGGGGCTGAAGCAAGCAGAGGCAGAACAGGACTGCACCAGGGTCCGAGAGCCTCTGAGTCCTCACCTGGCCTACAGATGTCCAGTGGGTAACTACAAGCAGGCTAAAGCTTGGCATCTCTCCCTTCACTGTGCATCTGTCTCAAACCTTGGGTCAGATTCCTGCTCATCTCTGCACATAGGCATTAATTATTTAAGAAGCGCTGGTCTAGCGGGCATGCATCCACTGGTAACCTTTCCCTTCCAGGCTGAGCACACCAAGATAAGAGTAACTGAGGTATTTTCAAGATGTGCAGGGACATCACAATCAACAGATTGTCAACTGGCAGGTTTGACAATATCTTGTCCAGAGAGACCACTAAACCAGGGCGTAAAAGTCTCCGCGTGTGCCCTAATTCACCCCGCCTTGCCTCTCAGACTTGCCCTTGAGTCATTCTCTCCTACAGTCACCTGGGATTCCAGGAGCAACAGGTCCTGTGACGTGTCGGTGAGAAGAGTCAAAACCTAACTTTCCTATTCCCAAGAAGGCGCTTCAGGGCCATCCGGAGATGGCAAGCAACCAGATCCGCCTGCTCAGGACCACTTAGCCATGCATGCTTCTCTCCCCTCCTTCTGCTCCTTCCCCATGTAAACCTTTTGTGAGCCCCAAAGTCATCCACCACTCTCCTTCCCAATACTGAGGAAATTCCTTTCCTCCTTCACCATTATTTTCTCTGGTTTTGGGGGCGAGTGGCAAGACCTGGTCCCCTGGGAGTCCCTGAAGTCGCCCTCCCTCCCCGGGCCTTGGACTCAGGTAAGGGGATCTGTCCAGGACCCTGGGTGCCCTGAGTCTGTTTCTCTCCTTCCCACATCGTGCTGAAACAAACTCTACCCGCAGCAGCCTGAGGGCCTGGCAGCTACTGAGACTCTAGCAAAGTATCACGGGCTTCCTGATGAGCCCTTCTCAAGGATCCTAAAGTAGTTTACATCGCAGACACCATGGCCTCCATCTCGCCCTCAATACTGCTGTTGTTTTTGTTCCAGGAGAATGCATTTCCTTATGTTGATTATAGCTTAACTCTTGGGGGGGGTTATTAGACATTATATGCAGTATTTCTCTCATGCCAAAGTCTTCTATGGGGACGGATCCCACTGCGCTGTGATATCTTCCTCTGCAGGGACAACCCTGGGGCCCTTTCTGCAGGAACTTGCTTGCTTTCAGCACATGAATTCCCCCTTCCCCCTGGCTGTGCAATTTAACAGCCTCAGGTTTAAGCTCTGTTTGTCCTGCACAAGGTGCCAGGTCCACCTGAGCACAGCGATGCGAACTGTATGAAACATTTTTCCAACCTGGCTCTGCTGAGTCTGCAACCTCTCCTGGCCGGGCTGGGTGCCCGGCCCACCGGAGAGGGCACAGCAGTGAAGCTCGGTGGCCGATTGATTGCCCTCTCTGACACCTTCCCCTGTCACCTCCACCTTCTGTAGGAGATAAGGGGCAGTGGCTCCATTCACGGAGGGCAATGTCGGGGAAAAGGGAGCCCAAAGCAGACAGACATGGAGGCTTGGAAAGGGAGAGAAGGCGAGTGATGGAAGGGGGAAGGAGCCCTCACAGACACATGGGCGTGCGTGCACACCCACACACACACACACACACATGCCCACAATTCTTTAGTCTAGTACCCCAATGCCATCCTGGGGGAAACCCCCATGGAAAATGGCACAGCTCTGGCATTGATTTTTGGGGTGCCCCATCTAAGAAAGGACCACAAGCTGCGTGGCTTAAATCCACATTCACAGCCCAGGTCTAGGGTCCGGAAGTCAGAAAGCAAAGTGCTACTGCACCTAGCTCCTTCTCGGCCACCCCTTCCTCCCTTCTCTCCAGGACCCTCCTGGCTCCTGACGTGCAATGGCTTGTGGCTGCGTGGCCCCATCTCTGTCACAATGCCTCTTCTTACGAGGACATGGGCGACTGAACTAGGACCCATGCTCAGCTCCCCAGTAGGGCCTCATCTTAACTTGCACATGTACCTGCAGTGACCTTCGTGTTTCCAAATAAATTCACATTCACAAATAAAGGGGTGCAAAGATACTTTTGCAAATAAGGTCACCTACTGAAGTGCCATTTCAGCAGGGGTGAGGACTTTGGCAATCTTTTGGAAGGACACAATTCAATTCCCAACAGCCTTCTACAAGATCACAAATAAGAATGAGGGGAGATTTGGAAGACAGGCGCTTCCTGTGTTCAGAGTCCTCGGGCAAGAGAAAGCAGGAATATTTCTCAATGGTCTCCAGATGTTCAAGGAGTGCTGTTGGGAAGAGAATGGTCAGCTCATGCTCAGTTCATGCATTTTCCAGGGACAGGGGACAAAGCTCAGGCTTTTATGAGCTGTGTGGCCCTAGCCGAGTCACTTAGCCTCTCTGTGCTCAGTATTCTCATTAAGATGAAAAGGATAGGGCTGGGGATTTAGCTCAGCGGTTCTGAAGCCTGCCTCAAAAGCACAAGGTCCAAAGTTCGATCCCCGGTACCAAAAAAAAAAAAAAGATGAAGATGATAACGGCTACCTCGCAGAGCTGCTTTGAGGACTGAGTGGAGAAAGTGATGGGAAGTGTGTGGAACAGGAAGCCAGTGGGATGGGCGCTGCTGGCGTCACTGTCACTGTTGTGGCTGGGATACTGACAGTGGTCCTCCCATTCCCGAGACAAAGTATCCCAGAGCCCAACTACAGAGAGAAGCACTTTTTGGGGGATTCAGCAATTTTCCTACAATAAGCATTTTTGCATAAAACATATCACTAGCACAGACTTTAAATAGTGCAGATGGCGTCTGTCTGATTTAACAAGTTCAACTTGTTCACAACAGAACTACTTGGCATCACTATTATTATACTGGACTTTGCATTTGCATAGCGCTTTCTATTTTCAAATAATGTATGATTCGGTCTTTTGCCCTGAGAAGCTTTTCTACAAATGGCAATAAAAGTCAATGTCTCCAGGCCTCAGACCACAGCAGATGGATGGCCTGGAAATGCCTCAGTGCAAAAGAAAAGGAGGAGATGGATGAGGGACATGGCTATAGCTGCTTGTAGTTGGTGGCCCCAGGAAAGCCAGAGCTTTGATGTCACCCCTTGGGGGGCTGGGGGCTGGCGCCAAGGCTGGCTTCTCCATGGCCAGGAGAAGGAGGTGCAGTGCTAGGGGCACTATGTTTTCAGAGGGCCATGAAAATGTTTGAATTTCTTTTCAAATTAGAGGGGAAAGGCCTGTAAATACAAGGCAATGGTTTGATATGTAACGTGAATACATTCGTCTTTAAACCCATAGAGTCATAAAATACAATTTGCACTCTAGGCTTAACTGTGTCCCCTCAACCTTCCTAGATCGCAGTCCTCATTCCCGGGGACTCAGAATGCGACCTGATTTGAAATCTGGTCATTGTAGGTGTAATTCAGGTAGTCACTGGGAGGTTGTTGTGGAGAAGACTGGGCCCCTAATCTGCTATGTCTTCGTGAGAAGGGAGAACTTGGCCCTAGAGTGGACACCATGCAAAGACTGGGGTTCAGCTGCCACCAGCCAAGGGACAGCCAGATGCTGGAGAGAGGTGGGAGCAGCGGGGTCCCCAGGCCCTTCACGGGGAGCGTGGCCTGCAGACGTCTCGACCTCAGACTCCAGGCCTCCAGATCGTGAGCCCATGGGTCTCTGCCCTGTAAGTCCCCCAGTCTGTGGCAGCACCCCAGAAAACTAATACAGCTTCAAATCCTTTCATGGAGGAAGGCCCCTTGAAACCCTGGGAGGTGGGGCTTCCCCAGGTTGTCAGGAGGACGTAAGAAAAATGTCCAGCTAATGATAAAGATAACAAAACAGCCAACAGTCGTGTGCCAAGCTCTCTCTCTCTCTCTCTCTCTCTCTCTCTCTCTCTCTCTCTCTCTCTCTCTCTCTGTCTCTCTCTCTCTCATTGGATTGGAGATTGAACCCAGGGCCTTTGCACTGAGCTATAGCCCCAGGCCATTTTTCTTTTTCTTTAGAGACAGGGTCTTCCTAAGTCACTAAGTTGCCCAGGCTGGGCTTGAACTTTCGATCCTGCTGCCTCAGTGCTGGGATTATAGGAGTGCGCCACTATGCCCCGCTGCCAGGCTCTTTATGCATGTCATCTCTGTCAGTGCTCACACAGCACTGTGATCACTCCTAATACCCCTCAGAGCAGGACACCTGGTCCCTACAGGCCAATCCAAGGGACCTCCAGCCCTGTGTCCTCAGGGAGGGAGGCAGCCTGGGACCTCAAGGGAAACACTGGATTCAGTGAGGCAGAATCATGCCACTGGACTGTGTGAAGAAACACATTTCCCATCTCTCACATCATGGCCCATGATGCTGAGAAGCTTTGAGACAGGCAGGACTGCCCCACTTCACCCAGAACCGGCCTCACGGGAGGGAGACACTGGGTGGAATACCAGGACCACGGCCACGACTGAGCCAGAGGCCAGCTAGCTCAGGGGTGGGTACCTTGGGCTGCAGCCACCCCCATGGCAGTGGCAAAGGCTGAAAACTGTTTGGTAGAAGGTGTTTCCATGGCAACCACCCTCCTCCTCCAAGGCCATTGCCACAGTACAGGCCTGGACTTCTGTCTGCCCAAGGAGGGGACATGGGGACAGTGTCCAGCTTCCTGCCATCGCTGGACACTCCCTGGCCTTCCTCCAGCTGGCGCAGGTCACTCCGAGCCCTCCAGTCCTCCTGCCTATGGTCCTTCTC